TATATATATATATATATATATATATATGATTATGACATAGGATCAAGTAACTTAGTCAATAATAGGTAAAAAATTAAGACTAACCAAAGTAACTTGGGGTATGTTTTTGATAAACTCTTTCGAAAACAAACTTTTATGAGAAAATAAAAAATAAAAAAATTGAAATATATTTTTTATCAGTTAAAGCTTGTTTATACATAAATTAAAAATATTTTTTTTGAGAAATTAATCAAAGAAAAAATTTCTACAAATTATTTTATTTATAATATAAACTAAATATAGCTTATGAAAAAAATTTATTTATTTTTCTTTATGTTTTTCTTTCTTATAAGTATTTCCATAAAAGTTTACCAAACAGACCTTGTTCATGCATGTGTTCATGAATCGGTTTCATTTTTAAGTTTCTTTACTAAATTAAGACTGAACTAAGTTTCAATAGAATGCAAGTTTGAAAACTATGAAATCAAAGTATTCTTTCTTCAATGTGCCATTAGAATTTAGAAGCATGCATGGCTCCACTTGAAAATCAGAATGAATTCTAACTCTAGGTCTTATTACCAGTGGGTATGGTGGAGGCTTCAGCTCAAACTTTGCATTTACTTTTGGACCCTGCATCGCACAACATGCTTTCTTGAATAAAAGGACAAAGAAAACAATGTGTCTTAACATATGAGGCACAAAATTTGACATAAGTATGAGACATGACACAAATTCTAAAATTTGCAAGACACACAACCACACACACAGGGCTTAGTTAAATTGAATCAATTTGATTGTGGATTTAAAATTGTTAATTCAGTCCAGTCATTTATGAGCTATGGGCCCAATATGCAGCCCAATAACTCATTTATTTTTTAATTTACATTTTTATGTTAAAATAACTCACATATTCTAACTTTTGTTGTCTTAATCCAAATTTTAAGAGTACCACAACAAAAGTAGGTAAAAGATACACCAAAAATTTAAACTGTCATTAAAAAATATTATATAATCAAGATATATTTTATAAAAAAAAAAGGGTCAAAAAGCCCGGCCCACATTGGGCCTTGTGAAATTCCATTTGGATTGGTTATGGCGGTACATGATGGTTAGGGTGCAAAAACATGAGAGATGTAAAAAAAAAAAAAAAATTAGGGTAATGATGACTTGAAGGCATGGGTTTGATTTTAAAAAAATGAGTGTAACATATGTCAAAATTAATTTTCAAAAGTGTCGAGTTTTAACAAATTAGAAAGCTAATTTCTGTTCATAAAGAAAAACTAATTTCTGAAATATTTTTAATAGATTTTACAACCTGAGCCTTAAGCCTCCTTAATTAAGAAAATGAAAACATTTTTTTACAACCAATTGTCTTTTCATTTGTTCTGTCATGACTAATATGCCAAACTGATATTGAATTGTTGCTTGTGAAAGGAAAAATATTTCTTGTACATTAAAAATGAGATAAAGAAACTTGTATCGTTTTATTTTGGGGACTATAGTTGAGGTGTGATGTGAATATATGAAAAAGATTAAAAAAAATGGAGATAAATAATAATTATTTATAATAATACATATAGTGTCCATTATTTAATATTCAAATAATTAAAATGTAGTAAAAATTCACAAAGAAAAAAAAATGAGAATTTCGGCTTTATACACAATGACGAGCTCAATTAAAATAACGTTATAATTAAACTATTAGATTTTTTATCCTAAAAATAAGTTAATAATAAAATTTAATACACATAAAAGTTATTTAAAGTCGATTCAATTAAAATTAATTATGAATCAGAATCATTTCCTTAAAGTGAAAATAATACTGTACATGAACATTTAATTAAAAATTAAATTAACGTGATTTTAATTGATCTTAAAACATCTTTAATGGAAAAAAAAACTTATGCTTTTCTATTTTTCTTTTTATTGTAAAAGAAACTACTTTTTATCTATGGAAATTACACCCATATCAAAATTCAAACTTAAAATTATATACATATTACTTCAATTTCTATCACTAATCAATTTTAATGTTTCAACATATGCTTAATTATCTTCGCAATGAAGTTGTGGCATTGTTTGTTGCTTAAAAATAAGTTGTTGCTCATGAATTAGAAGTTTTTTTTTTTTTTTTTTTGTTTTTTTTATCAATCAACCAAAGTAAAGGTAGAATCTTATGAAAAAAGGGAAGAAAGGAATACATTAATTAGACAAGAGCGTGTGCTTAGGAAGAACTTTATCATCCATTTCATGAGTCTCATTTTATGCAAAGGAGTATATATATATATATATAGAAGAAGAAGAAGGAGAAAAAATTGTAGACATGCATGCATATTGAGATAATTTTGGTGATGAAAATACCTCTTTGATAAGCAAATTGATGCCACTTTGTAACCCTGCCAATTAAACAAATTAACACAAAAGCAATGAAACTAGAGAAAGAAAATGCAAAGGCACTAGCTAAGTAAAGAGTGTGTGCACCACCCAATGAAGCCATGTCTCTGAGTAATTTGAGCGTGTGGTTAGAGTGAGGAATTGGGACAAAGGTCAATTTCTTACTTTGAAGGCCAATATATATAAGAAAATACTATGTGTTAGTACAATTTCAATCTTGTAGTACACTGAGTTGGAAGCTATGTACGAGCACCACAATGCCCCACTAGTACACATTTATTTTTACAATCATCATCATTTCTTTTTTCTTTTAAAAATAAATAAATAAATAATATTAATACCCTAATTTCGTGATTTCACCTGCCTCAGAACAAGTAACTCAGCGAGTGAGAATCTCAATTTTTTCATGTAAAAAGGAGTAATTTTCTTTAAAAAAGAATTACAAAACGGGTTTCTTTCTTTAAAAAATGAGATGTATTTTGTAACATTTAATAGGGTATATATATATATATTATCCATTTAGAATTGGTGTTTCAAAACACATTTAATAAGATGTATTTTTTTATCCATTTAGAATTGATGTATGTTTAACAGTGTGGATTAAGTGATTCTAAGGGTATAACTAAAAAAATTAATCTTAATTAAGAAAAAAAATAAAAATGACAGGTGTAAGAGGAAAAAGAAGTACGAGTGTGTTGTGAATAAGGATGACAAATATACTCATACCCGCAAATAATACTTGAATCTGTCCCGACTTTGACAGAGAATATTCGGTTTAATCAGGTACGGGTATAGGTATGTACTTACCCGCCCGTACCCGTACCCGTACCCGACGGGGATGAGAATGAAGATGAAAATCACATACCCAACAAGTTTTTTTTTTTTTTTGAAAGGCAAATAAATGTTATATATACAAGGTACAAGGGGGTACCTTAACCCTTTTACAATAGATAGGAAATAGGGCATTAGCAACATATTCATGACAATCCGACAAAATACAACCAGCCTAACACGTTGTAGTCTCCAAATGAGCATGTATATGTCAGTATTACAACGACAAAGACTAGAATTTTTGTCACTCCTCTCCCATTATACAGCGGTGAGACACAAATAGTATTGAAGTGACATATCAACTAACCTGATTCCCTTGAAATCATTTGCAGTATTGGTAGCTATGACCGAAGAAAATAGAGTGTCCATTAACCTCAAGTCTCCAACACAGTTAGCTGTTGAATTAGCCTCGAATACATTGTCCAGGGTTGATACTCCATTGTGAGAAAGTGTAGTTGAAAGATTTGTGCAGTATATTCAACCAAGACCAAGCAAAGATCGGGAATGACTATCATAAAACTCATACCCGACCCGCCCCGTTGCCATCCCTGGTTGTGAAGCGCAAATATTGAAATTTCTGAAATTGTACAGGAACAAGACCAGTTGCTGCATGCACAGACATTGGATGGCAAAACGGCAGAATTTCAAAGGTTTATGTAAAAAAATAAAATAGATGACCTCGTTGGATATGTAACTTGCATGTCAATATTAATATATGTATTATTAAATGAGAAAAAAAAACTATACAGTGACAGTGATAATACAAAACAGTGTTACACAGTAAAAATCACAATTTATTAAACTCTTTTAATGATTATTTAAAAGTCATATAAATAATATTTTTTTATTGATTGATAGCATAAATTTTCTTATACCGATAATTCATTATCAATAAACTCTTATTAAATTATGAAATAAAAAATATACAAAACTTAAATTAAAATATATTTTTATGATATATATTTAAAAATAATAAAGCTACTATAAATATAATATAATATTATACAAAGACTATATTAATTAAAAAATATTTTATTATTAATTAATGTACAATATTCTAAGAATTTATGTATTTTAAAAAAGTAAAAGATGAGTTGGAATAACTTGAAGTATATAAGTCAAATTTATCTTAAAAATTATACCAGATCTAAATTTAAGAGTCAAATTTATTCGAATTAAATCATGAGTTAAGTTTTTAAATAAGTTGGATCATACTCACCTCTAATTAAATCATTCTAGTTTAAACTAACGGTGTGCTTTCTATTTTTGATACAAACCGATTTTTAAAATACAGAATAAAATAATCACATTCTAAAAGGAACCAATAATAGTTGGATAAGGTTTAAAACCCATCAAATGCTTTTTAATTTGTTAGAAAATTATGGGGAAAATAAAATATATACATGAACAAATTATGTATGGTACACGAATATGGACAATTTTAAACATCCAAAATTTACTATGGTTATGCGTAGCTAGAAAGGGTTTCAGAAAACATCAAGGGGGTCTGAATCTTAAAATGTGTATTACATTCAAATAAACATGCTTAAGGTCTTACACATGTATCTTGTGGCTCGTATAAGAACACACTAGTACTGCACTAGTGTAAACTTGCATAATTATCGTTAAAAAAAAACACACGTTTTTTAAAATGCTTTTGCTTCAAATTATTATATGGTATAGAAAACGTATAAAAGTTCTTATACATTTTAGAACACTTTTTTAGATTTTGTCTTTAATGAAGTGTAAAGTAAGAGCACCCGTGTGTGTCAGATAGAGTAGTATATACATATTTAAATCTTATACATAACATTATCATGAGAAATCAATATGGTATGGTTGTTACACAAAACAAAATGAATGTGCATGTCTTTTAATTGTGTTCAACAATCATGTACAACGAATGCATATATATGTATATATTTTTTTATCGATAAGAATTACAACAATAATAACAATATGATATGATGAATTTTGTGTATACTATTTCAATTTTTCACTACTAAACTTATATGATGTGTATTTCCAAACAAAACAAAATTGTCACCTTTTTCACCCAATTAACATCACAAAATACTGTACTCAAAACACAAATTATTATGCTCAAATCTTCAGCATTCCATAAGCAGCAGCCATAAGAGCAACACAAACTAATTTAAGGGCATCTCTGGCACAACTCACAGTCCCTGATGAAAAATGTGCATTCTTCTTTGATGAAGGGGACTGTGGAAGTGTGGCAGTGTTTTGGTCTGATCCAGCCACAGCCTTAGGTGCTAGGGTTGGTGCAACTGCAAGTGATTTTTGATCACCTTGTACATGGACATGAAGCTTCATCCCTCCAAGGCAATACAACTTGTTTCCAGAAACAAAATACCTGTCTCCACCTCTTGTTAGTGGCACTGTTGTGTTTCCATTTCCATAAGTTGCCAAAACATTGGTTGTGTTGCATGTGTCATAGTTTTCTTTTGTAACTTCTTCTACACTTTGGCTAGATGAATATTGAAAAACTGAAAAAAGACAGAAATATTTTCAAAATGTTGTTAATCCCTCTTAACAATGAAATAATAAAGTCGAATATTCTAATGAAAAACAGAGTGAAGTATATACATAAAATTTGGTTTGTTCATGAATTTTGTTTTTAAATACTTGAAACAATAATCTACTTGATATTTGAAGTTTCAAGTTCCATTGAATATTTCAGCCCCTTAAAAATGATGATTAGCAAAAAAGTCGAATAGAACCATCATTAGAAAGTATTATTTAGCTATTAGAAATTAATCTAAGATGAATTTGGGTACATAATTTAATTTAATACTTGATAAAACTTTTGCCATGTACAAATTTATGTAAAAAAACTTAACCATGAATTCATTAAAATAAATTAAAATTGAGCTTATTTTGATAAAATAAAAGAAGCTAATTGAAATAAGCTAAAAGAATTTACAAAATATTATAAGTTAATCTTTATAAATTTAAAGATATTTCAGATGCCCCTTTGAGCTATAAAAGAAATGTTAAGTACTTACCAAGAGCATCTCCTACTTTGAAATTTTTATCTGCAATCCATGTATCAAGATTTGTACTAATGTCCCAGCCAGAGCTATCTCCAACAGTGTAAGTAGTGGCTGAGCATGTGAAAGTTGCCAAAGAAAAGATAAGAGAATAAACTATGAGTAACTTTTCCATGTTAATGAAGGGTTCTAACAACTTTGGGTTACCATAGGGTCCATTTTATATGCTTGAAGTTTGCTCTTTATTGGATAACCTACCCAACAAAAAACAATAAATTAAATAGAAGAAATATTTCAACGTTGGAATGTGCATTTCATCTAATTGGTGGACTGAGAAGAGAGTGGTTAAACGGTATTGAACTGCCATTAAGCCCTTAGATTGGGTTTGACATTAAACTTACTCGAGATATGTATATTATTATTATTTTTCATTCTACCATGAAGCTTAATCATCATACAAACTAGTTATGTTTTTTCATCTTTAAGAAGATTAATTCATTCACGTTAATGTTGTTTGTAATTATCATTAGTGTAGTCACGAAAGTAAAGTTTAAATTTTAAAAGAAAAGTTTAAATTTTGATTTATTGATAATTACGACTGGAAAAAAGTTTTATAACACTATTCAACAATTGCGTGAGTAATTATAAATGGTATGTTAATTTATTGTAAACATTTTTTTAGTAATTTTTAGATAGACATATAAAAATTATTTAAATTTGATTATAATATTAAATAAATAAACGCATAAAAAATGTTAAATAAATAAATAAAAAAGAAAAAGTCAAATATGAAAGGTGCATTTCCTTGCTTCTTTCAACTTCTTAGAACAGGGACAACACTTGATTCAGAAATTGATTGTTATTAGTTTAAATATATTTTTAGTTATTATAATATATTATATTTTCATTTTTAGTTTTTATAAAATTATTTTTTATAAGTTTTTTTGTAATTTTTTTTATTTTGATCATTATTATTTTCTCTTAATTCTTTTAATATATTCATTGTTCTAGTCCTTCTAATATTTTAATAATGTTCACTTAATCTCTAGTTTTTTTTTTTAAGTTAACTTAAAATGAATAAAATATTATAAAGGTTAAAATGAAAAAAATATATTATATGAACAAAAAGAAAAAAATAAGGAGAAAAAAATAACAAATATTTTAAAAATTTATTTTACAATAATTAATACCAAAATAAATTGTGTATAATAGAAACAAAAACATATTTAGACCATAATTTATTTTGTAAAATAAATAAGTAGTAACTTTAATAAAAATTAAATGAGAAAATATTCAATTTGATCTTTGAAAAATGATAAAGGTGGTCGATAAGTTCCTAAAATAATTTTTTGAGGTATTTGGGTTCTTAAATTTTAACTACGTTGACACCTATTCTTTCTCATAGTTTGTTGTTCTCGCTCTCCTAAACACCTAATATAGATTAATGCAAGGTTGTTATTGGATTTTGTAGGATTTTCTATAATTAATTTTTTTTCTATTTCAAGCATCCTTGATTTCTTTGTTTATTCTGACTATAAGTTTCAAACTATAAATCCTAAATCATTGTATTTGAGATTTAATAAAATGAGTGGTTGTTTTGAAAGATCTTAAATAAGAATACATCAATCAAATATGTGTATTTCTACTATGTTTAATAAATCGCAAAATTACTATGATAAAAGTGAGGAAAAGTTTAGTGGTAGAAAGTGAAAAAAAAAAAGTAATTCAAACATCATTTTATTTTTAAATTAAATTAAAAATTAAACCTTATTTTGACACTTTGTCTAAATTTACTTAGTTTGTAACTATTGCATTTCAACTAGGAGAAAAAATACATCCTAATATGACAATTAACTATTAATTGATCATGAGACTAATAAAGTTAATAATTGAATATAACGGACGAAAAGACTAAATTACATAACAAAACTAAAATTTAAGGACTCAGATGCTATAAAAATATATATAAGGACTTATCAATCATTTCAATAATCTATTAAGGACCAAATTAAATATTTATTCAAAACTAAATATTTATATATAAAGGACATTAACAATAACGTTAAAATAAATAAATGTATTTATTAATTTTTCATTAATAAATTAGTAAATGGTCAATTTAGCTCCTATTTTTAATAAAACTCAAAAAGAATTTCTGAAAATATATGTCATCCATTTAAGTCATTTCATTAAATAAGTTCTATTTTTTTTAAAACAAAAATGTGTATATAACATGGTAATGCATGTGTCATACACATGGTATTGGTACATGTGTCATATGACATATATATTCTATATGGTATATCTGTTTCACATGACATATTTATAAAATATAATATAATTTTAATCCTTAAAACTATAAGACTATGTTACTTTAATCCCTAAAGCCATAGTTTTAAAAACTGGACTGGTCATCGAACCGGTTAAGGTATTGGGTCAGTGGGTCAAAGGTTGAACCGGTGGGTCACTGGTTGAACCGCATGACTCGATTTTTATTTATTTTTATTAAAAAATATTCATATTAAATATATTTATACTTATAAATTTTAATAAATTCATCTTATTTTAAATTTAAATTTTTCTATCTTATTTAAAATTATTTTTATTTTTATTTTGTAAAAAAATACATAAAAAAATTACATGTTAAACGGTATATTAATACAAATTAAAAATATAAATAATATGTACATATATAATATGCTTGCAATTAATATCACAAAATAATATATGTAATATTTACATAGATATTGAATTATTAAATATATAATTTAAAATTAATAATATACTATAAAAGTTATTTAAGTTGTATATATTGCAAACAAATATATTAGAACAAGTAGTCATTGTTATATTTAATAAGACTCCTTGCTTTTTCATTAAGAGATTCAATTTTCATTATTATTTTTGTGATTTATGGTCCCTTAAAAAATTTAAAAAAAAAAAAAAGTGGTTGAACCGGTTTAACCTACCGGTTCACCGGTTGAACCGGAAAATTGACCGGTTCAATCCGACTTGAAACGGGTCGACTGCATAACCGATCCAACTTCAGATTTGGACCGGCTGGACCACCGGTTCCTGGTCCAACCGGTCCGACCGGCCGGGTCGGTCCGGGTTTTAAAACACTGCCTAAAACTATAAGACTGGTACTTTATTTTTTTGGAATTGTAACTCTCACTTTAATATAGTATGTAAAATTTTGTCTTTGATATTAATAATATTAATTTATCATCTTATTTATAAATTGAAGGTGACATACAATTTTAGAGACTAATTTGATCATTTATCGTTAATAAATATAATTTTTAATTTAAAATATATTCTATCCTTTGAAACAATATTTCTATAAAAAATAACTTTCTTTGTACCTAAAAATTTCAAAATCGATCTGCCTCATTTATTACAATTAGGGAGACCATTAATCTTTTTATAATGTAGATTTCTGCTTCTGTTTTTTAATAGTTACTAAATACTTCGACCAACTTACTTTCTTTTTACTGGAATAACTTCAACTTTATTAAAATATAAAGTCGTTTTTCTAATGTCATTGACATCTAATACATTAAATCAAAAACTAATCTCATTAATTTCATTTGCAATAGTATAAATATTTAAAAAAAAAAAACTAAAATCAAATAAAGTCAATTTTTTAAAAGTAAAAAAAAAGTTCCAAAAAGATCAGCATTCAATCCCGAAATGATACGGATCCTGGCTTTGGCATGCACGGGATTTCAAAACTCTACTCTCCACGCAATGCTTCTTAATTAAAAAAAAAAAAAAGAGTCAGAAAATATTATTTCAATTGATGAAAGTTGTTGTACTGCTTCTATCTTCATGGCAAAGTAACATTTTTGTAGTGATTATTGGTGTAACCATTTCACTACTTTGCGGCAAACTCATTGCTTTTGCATCGAACCAAACCAACTATGACTTTTCGGACTAAATATGACCCCATCCGGTTTACTCATCCGGTTCGATTAAAACAAAATTTAATGTATTTAAATTTTAAAACTAGATCTAGTATATATTTTTTAAAGGATAAAACCTTAATTTAGTCCCTTATAATATTAAAAAGTTTTAATTTGGTCTCACTTTAATTTTTTTATTTCAATTTAGTCCTAATTTATTTTAAAATTTTCAATGTGAGACTTCCGTCTAAATTTCACAAACGGCGTTAAAGATCCGAGAGAATCACGCACGTGATTCCAAATCGCGGCCGTGATTCTCATGGTCGAGATTCTCACCACCTCTCACTACAAAAAATAATGTAATTAGTAGGGTTTTTTTTTTCTGGCGGTTTCAAAAAACCGTCACAAAATATTATATTTCTAGCAGTTATTTTAACTACCACAAAAGAATGATATTTTTAGAGGCTTAAAACCGTCACAATCTTTAAATATTGGCTCTACCTTTTCATGTCACACTCCATTTTGACGTGTGATTATAATGGAAAATTTCATGTGTTTGGTGTTCAAATTCTAGTCCTATGCTCTGAAATGACTAAATTGATTCCACACAACTCTAGATTCAAATTTTCTTCATGCAGTAGGTTTAGGAGGCACAACACAGAACAATAGGGGATGATTGGTACCTTGTTACAGATCTTTGACAAAAGATTGTTTCAGGTCAGTCACACTTTTTGAAGGTCTGGTCCTGTAGATTGTCACTGGTTGTGGTTGTCAGAGGTCTCCATTAGGTTGTTGAACATTGTTGCACCAAGAACGCAGACACTTTTGATGCCCTTTCCCCTCCTTAAATATACAGGATCATGACAAAATTATGGTTGCAACATGATATGAAATAAGGCTGAGGAATAATATTGCTAGGTGTTGGATATTAATTATTTACGTGTGTCCCATTTTTAAGGAAATTGTTAGATTTAGTTTTGAGAGTTAGATATAAAAAGCTAGTAAACAATTAGAGAGACACTTTTTGTTGTATCTAGATCTCCTTTCTTGTAAACTCTCAAAAATACACAATAAACTCTTCGGAACCTTTTCTCTTATAAGGTTCACTGTTCCATCTCTATTCTTCGAATTATATCCGAATTCCTAGAACTAAGAAATATTATAACAATTAGTATCAACCAGGACGATTCATTTAGACTAATCTTCCATGGCAGACTCAACTCGTCATGCGGAAACCATGAGGGAGTTGGAAGAACGGTTGTTAGCGAAGTTGGAGGATCATTTGGTGGAACTTGCGGGTTCAATTCAGCGAACTTTGACTAATTCTATGAAAGAAACATTGCAAGAATTGATGGGTAATGTGCGAAATATATCAGGATCATTAGGTATTTAGGGACACAATCGTGGGTCTTCTTATTCTTGTGGAACTAGGCTTGCTAGGATTGATTTTCCCAGGTTTAATGGTGAGAATGTGAACCAGTGGCTCTATCAATGTGAAATTTTTTTTCTTATTGATAATACGCATGATGACTTTCACGTTAAACTTGTTGTTGTTCATATGGAGGGTCGGGCTTTACAGTGGCACACGACTATTGATAAAACTACTAATTGTTCATAATTTGCCTTGGCTTAAGTACAAGAAACTGGTTCTTGAAAGGTTTGGTGATGTTTGTGATGATCCAATGGCGGATTTAATGAAATTGAGGTAGAAAAAGTCAGTCATCGAATATTATGAGGAGTTTGATGCTATTATTACTCGCTTGAATTTTTCTGAGGAGTATTTGCTTAGTTGTTTTTTTGGGAGGGCTTAAGAAGGATATTCAAATGATGGTAAGGATGTTTCAACCAACTACAGTAAGTAAGGCTTTTTCATTAGCAAGATTGTATGAGGCTGCTAATACTTTAGGTTCTGTGATTAATGAGATCAATAAACAACAGAAAGGTGTATTTGGCCATAGACTATTGAGTGTTGATAATTCTAATTTTTCCAGTACTGTAACTAATGCTAGTAAGATTATGGCAAGGTCAGGGAAGAGTTTGACCCCTGCGTACATGAATGAAAGGAGGGCCTAGGGTCTTTGCTATTTTTGTGATGAACCTTACTCACCTGAACATAGTTTGACTCACAAGAAGTTGCACGTGCATGTTTTGGAGATTGATGATGAGGATGGCCAGTGGGATACAATGGATAATGTAAATGATGGACCTGTAGTAGGGGAACCACAAATATCGATTAATGCATATTGACAGGACTTGCTAGTTTTCGTACCATGAGGATTACGAGGTATTATAAGAAAAAACCTTTGCACATCCTTATCGATTGTGGCAGCACAAATAATTTCTTGGATATTCAAGTGGCTAAGAAGTATGGGTGCAAGATTGAAGAAAGGGAGCCTTTAAGTGTTGCGGTAGCAGATGGGTCCAAGCTTACAATTTCTTTTATGGTGAAAGGCTTCACTTGGTCTATTCAACAAACTACATTTACTTCAGACATGTTATTGGTTCCTTTAGGTTGCTGTGATTTGGTTTTAGGGATTGAATGGTTAGTCACATTGGGCGATATTACCTGGAATTTTTCTAAGTTGATAATGGACTTCAAGGTCCATGGTAAGAGGCATGTGTTGAGAGGCTCTCCTTCTACGGTGTTAAGACTGCTAAGAAACAACAACTCAACAAGGCCTTGGGTGATGGTGTTCATGTTTCCATGCTACAACTTTGTGAGGAGGAAGGAGGATTATTACAGTCTTTAACTACTCATGCTGCTCAACTGTCATTACCGGAGGAAATGGACCAACTGTTAAAAGAGTTTGATGACATATTTGAAGATGCCTTTGCAGAGAAGGAGCCTGAAGAAATTCTGGATAGGATGACAATTAAAAGGAAGGGAGCAGCAGTGACGAAAGTTCTTGTTAAATGGAAGCACCAACTTCCAGAAGATGCCACTTGGGAATTTTACTATGACTTGAAGAAGAAGTACCCTTTATTCCCATCCTTGAGGACAAGGATGTTGACAAGAAGGGGACATTGATATGAAATAAGGTTGAGGAATAATATTGCTAGTTGTTGGATATGAGTTAGTTACGTATGTCCCATTTTTAAGGAAATTGTTAGATTCAATTTTGAGAGTTAGATATAAAAAGCTGGTAAACAATTAGAGAAACACTTTTTGTTGTATCTAGATCTCCTTTCTTGTAAACTCTCAAATACACAATAAACTCTTCGGAACCTTTTCTCTTATAAGGTTCCCTATTCCATCTCTATTTTTCGAATTATATCCGAATTCCTAGAACTAAGAAATATTATAACTCAAAACAAAAAGTAGAGTAACTCCCCATTCTCCCCTTTTGATTTAAGATTATTTTTATTTTTGTTGACATGGTTAATTTTTTTGTTGGATGTTAGGGTAATGCTTGTGGGATGGGGTGGAAACAATGGTTCAACCCTCACTGCAGTTTTTACTAAGTTATTCATTTTATTTTCCAGGGTAAGGAGTATATCCTAGTGTTGAAGTCAGACAATGTGGCAACAATCATAGATCCAAGTATCCTTCTTATAGTTTTTAATTAATCACTCATTACAATATTATTTTGGAATCATTACTTCATACTTCCTAACCCCGCTTTGACATTCACATGTTTTGATTTTTGTCAACCTTGACTGCATCTTGTAGACATACTAAATCATTTGATGATAAATGATATTGAATATTGCATGGAGGTACGCAGAAAAATTTTATCTACCAAATAAAATGCTGCCACTTCCTTTTTTTTTTAAGGTATATATGAGTTCTGTTTCATTTTCTTCCTTTTTTCCCGGGTGACCCCAAGCCGATCATTTAATTTAATCTTAACCACAATGAAGTTTAAGGTATATTTTCTCTCCCTTCATTGTTACTTGCCCCCTTTAGTCTCTTCAATAGTTTGTGCTAGTCTTGGAATTGCCTGATGCTTAATGAACTGGTCTTCAATGTGTGTGTAAGCTTAACCTATTATATCATGAGCATATATTGCAAAAGTTTTAATCCAGAAAATTTAAGACATACACTGGGAAACAACTTTGGCTTAACACTATGTTTGATAATTTATGCAGCTTCGGGAGATTGCTTGAAACCAAGATAAACATGTAAGTATATACGATTATTGGCCACAAACTGTTTTTGGCGACTGTGGATCTGACGGTTATTAATGATGTTGGTAATACGATTTGTGGTGATTTTTAACTCCCATAAACTATTAAAATAACCGCAACAAATCACACATTTTTTTTGTAGTGTCTTTTTGCACCTCTTAATCTTAGGTGGTTCCCAGGTCGTGAGAATCACGTCAGTGATTTGAAATCACGGCGTGATTCCCTCGAACTTTTAACGCCGTTTGTGAAATTTAGACGGAAGTTCTACATTGAAAATTTTAAAATAAATTGGGACTAAATTAAAACAAAAAATTAAAGAGGGACTAAATTAAAATTTTTAATATTATAAAGGACCAAATTAGAGTTTTAGCCTTTTTTAAAATAATTTTGAGTTATTGTTTGTTTCGAACGTTTTAACAAAATTATTTTACTTAATAGATAATATTTTACATAACATAATATTATATTTATAATAATTTTATTTATTTTAGAATGTATATTATAAAATTAGATTTTAATTTTTTTAATATTTTACAATTTAAGCCTAAAAGTTCTAATGACTCTAAGAATAGAATTGGATACACAGAAACAAAAACTATTTTTTCTTTTCATAAAAAATAGTCACTTCTTGTTTTCGTAAAAAAAACACCATTTTCAGTCGATTAACCTTCAAATGAGTAATATTTTTTTTATAGGATTTTTTAGGAAAATTAATATAAACATAAATGTTTATAGAGGAAAGATTTTTTTTTTCAGTATTATTTTTTTATCTTATGAAACACAAAATATTCTTCTTTTATATTAGTTTAAACCATTAACTATTTTTTAATGATTAAATGTTAGTCTTTTTTACTTAATATATTATATAATATGAATTTTTTTAATATACATATATATAATTATTGATTTGAGTACTCTAATACTATAGTTAGCTAAGATCTAATACTCTCAAATAGATTGGTCCACGCAAGTCAATACATGTGTGTTGAATTTTCTTACTATTACTTACTTTGTGACATGACTTGATCTGTTGATTTGTTGGACTGAGCTAAATTAAATCTTATTTTTATTTTTATTTTTATTTAAATCTATAAAAAAATATAAAATTAAATAGATCTAATAGATTCAAACCTAAAAATTAGTGGTCTAATTAGGCTAAATAGTTTGATGGGATGGGTTAAGTTGGCCTGATTTATTTTATCCATTTTTTTTCAGAGTCCAACATGTCTCATTGCTTCAAAGCATCAGGACAAGATCAACTTTTACACTTCTACGCATTGATACTATGAATTTTTTTTTTTATAGAGAAATGCTAGTAACATATTATCTAACATACTATTTTAACCATAATTTTTTTTAATTGGTTGAAATTTATTGGAAGTTACAAAATTTGGTGGTCTCACACTCTAATTAACTATTTTCTGCTACTGATTTTATAATTTTTAATAAACTTTAATCAATAAGTGTGAATGTGTTAAGATGTGTGTTGGTGTGTTGCTAACACTCCTCACTTTTTTAAGGGGTTAATAGAAATACCACCTTCACTTAATTTTATAAGAAACAAGTTATATTGTAAAATTCTCTATAACTTGTTTATTATAAAAAGAATCAGAGCTAGTATTATTTAAAATTAAAAAAATCTTATACGCATCTATTAATTTATTTCACTATGGAAGTAATGTAATCGGATACATTTGTCAATTAGTAATTCGCTAGTTCAATGTAACCTTTATTCTGAAATACAATTATATTGATTTCAAAGCCCTATAAATGGGATTCACCAATTTCATTTTTTTTTTCACACCCTGCGCCGCTCAGAAACCCTAGTTCTTGAGAGTCATAGAAACTATTGGCCCAGATCCATTCTTAAATGTTTAGAACATTATCAAAGATCAAATCATAATAGGTAACTTTTAATATTCTCAGTAGAGATCGGTATTTGTTTTTAAATTTTTGTATCTTCATTTGAGAATGTGTGGATTTCATATGTTTGATGCATAAAAAAGTATAAAATTATAATTGTACTAAAATGTTTTATTAAATAGAAATTCAGATTTTATGATAATCATATCAATTGGTTCAATTGAAAATCCAGAAGGTCCATTAGGTCATCAATCAAATTTTTTGATGAATCAATTAGTTCTTCGATCCAAAAATTCGATGAATCGAGTAGGTCAATGATAAAATATTTCTTGAATTAGTTGGATCTTCAATTCATACAAGATAAGAAATTGATAGAGTAAAAGAAAGTCAAATTTTGTTTCAAACCAATCTCTCTTTACATATACATTAGAATATCTATGGTGAACAAAAGTGTTTTTAAAGACTATTATTTAACCAAAAACATTTTTAGCTAATTTTCTTCGATGAGACTGATTTAAATTTTTTTTTCTTAATCTTTTATCTCCTTAATTTTATTTTAGATTAAATCTTAGTATTAAAATTTTATCAAAAATTAAAAATAACATATTACAATATAAACTATTTATTATAAAATTTATAATATGTTAAAAATATTTTTTTATTATACTTTTAATTATAATACAATTTAAGTATTTAAATATACGAGTTTACTTTATCTTTTATTGTATATAATTTTATAAATTTTATCTTTTATATTTTATAATTAAATATTTCATTTTAAATTTTATATTTATATATATATATATATTATTTTTCATTTCTTTTAGTCCCTATCTTTTATTGAATTTTTTTACCACGGAATTAATTTAATACATATGTTATTATTTATTTTAAAATATACAGTAATGCGTTATTTGTCCTAAGGGTAATTTGTTGCCTCAACATGATCTTTTATTATGGAATAAGAATTGTACTGATGCCTAAATTGTATATATTAGATTCTCCACTTTTAATTACACTGTTTTAATCTTTTTGTGCAGCTTGAACCCTGTAACATATTTCACTTCAGAGTTTAAAAATAATTTATCCAAATTCATTTTTAAACAATGAGAAGAATATGAAAATTGCATCATACCAACTAATTCGTAACTTTTTATATATTTAGTAGGGATTGGTATTTTCTTTAATCTTTATATCTCCATTATGAAAATGATAGTTTTTTTTTAAAATTAAGTTATTCGTTTTAGTTTTATATGTGGGTTTGGTGTCTATCTCACCTTTTTTTTTATATATTTTTTTATTTGGTTCTGTGTGGAACAATTTGGACATATCCAATCTAATGAATTTATTATATAGTTAGAACTTATATTTTTCAAACTTAACCTTTTCAAATCACCTTTTAGTCTTTTACCAACTTTTCTCAATTTAGCAGACATTAAAATTTAATCACTTTTTTTTTGTGTTGTTGTTCAGGATCTCATGGCAAATAAGTGACTAACATCTCAGAGTATAGATTCATTCAAGAGATTAACTTCCCTCAACACACCTGGTGCGTTCAAACCAATTTTTTTTTTAATGTATTGATTTTTTTTTTGGGACGAGTAATGTTCTTTATTTTATTTTTCATTGCATCCATGATATGAGCATGTGTGGTGAATTTTTTCTTTTGCATCTATGATATGATATGGTGTTGTTCTTGACATGTTAAGAGTGATTCTTTGCACATATCAATCTATTCATAAATGTCAAGTGTTTCCGAAATATGATTATACATTTTAGGAACCAGTTTCCGAAAGTTAACAATGTTTTCAAATATAGGCCACTACTAGAAAAGTGTCATTTTCTTGCGAATTTTTCTGAAAAAAATATTCACAAATTTTTTTTGCGAATTTATTTGTGAAAAATAATTTACAGATATTTCTTACAAATTTTGCTACAATTTTAATAATCATAGAAATTTTTTTCATGGTAAAAATTTGCAGAAAATATTGTAAGAATTTTATTTTGTTTCTTGCAGATTTTCTTGCAAAAATAAATTCGCAAGTAATGTTTACTAAATTGGTAGAAAAATTTTGCAGGTAACTTTTCTTGCAGATTTTCTTACAAATTTTAATCCACAGGAAAAATAAAAAAATATTTAAATTTATAAGTTTAATATTTTAAAAAAACTTCAAGTCCCACATTAATTGAAAATAAAACAATTAAAAAGTATATAAGTTGGGATAACACTTACCTTACAAGTTGATTTGTATGGTTGAGTATTAAGCTTATAATCTACAATCTTAGAATTTAAAAGATTATGTATCACATGTTGGATGCATGGAAACAAATGTTGTGAGCATTTGAAAGTTAAAAAATTATTGATAGAATTTATAGTAATTTCTTTAATTTTTTTTTTCGTAAAAATATTCCTGCAAAATTTTTTGCAAAAAAAAATTTCGCAGGAAAACCTACAGATAAAATTTCGCAGAAAAAATTGTAGGAACAACGTTTCCTGCGAATTTTTCATAAAAATTCGCTGGAAAAGTCGCATGTAATAAAAAAAATTCTAGTAGTGGGCTCCATAGACACCAATGTGGTCTTTACTTTTGTTGAAGAAAATATCCATGCGAGTGATTTTGTTGACAAATAGGGATGTCAAAATGAGTTAATCCAATCAATTTTCAACTCATTCAAAGAAGGTTGAATTGAATTCATCATGTGATTGAAGTGAAAATCTCAACCCACTACATGCTACTTGTTTTTATTATGAGAAAAAAATTATCACATAATTTATAGGAAAATGGAGGACTACGTACAATCACTAATTAACTTGAGGAACATCCTCACCAACTTCATTAGAGATTTATTTTTCTGACACTAGGTATCACAAGCAATGAGTATTTTACTCACAAAATCTATGAATTGTTTGTCTTTTCCCACGTGTCATTTCCTCCAACTCAATACTTGAGAAGCTCATTTTTGGATAATAGACTTGTCTAAATTGCATCATTGATGAGAATGATAGATATAATATCGTAAAGAGAGTATACTTTCATTATTTCTCTCTCCCATGTGATGTCAATCAAAAAGAAATCATGATAGGTATGATTTTTAAGTTAGTTAAAGTATAAACCAACAAATTAACTAAAATGTTATTTGCCTATAAATTACTTTCTCTTCTTTTTCTTAAAACTATGCTAAAATAAACTAAATCAGTAACAAGAAGCACAAGAAAAAACATCATAAGGGAGAAAGAAAGTAGGAACGCAAATTCTTCAGGTGATTATATATAACCTTCTCATCTAAGATGCAATTTGGATAAGTGTATTGTCTAAAAGTTAATAGGCATCTCAATTATCAAGTAGGAAGAAAGTGACATGAGAAAATGCATCAATTCATAAAATTTGTAGGAATATTGCTTGTGGTTTGTAATTCCTCGTGTCTTGAAAAATGATTCCTTGACTGATGCTGATGGGCATCATCATCAGGTTAATCAATGATTATTATCGATATTTTTCTATAAAAATCATTATAATACCATAGTCACGTAGTGTGTTCTATTATTTACAATCAATTGACTAGTATGATCACAATACTAATCGTCATATTCATTTTAGCCGATCTCCATTTGTGAAAATACATAGAAGATTATCATTTCCACATTGGTCTTATGTTTTTTTTCTTTTCAAATTTGATTAAGAGTAAGAGAAATTACCTCACAATTTATAGGTAAATATGTGTGCTATACTTATCACTAATTAGCTTGAGGAACATTCTGACCAACTTTAATCAACAGAAATTTTTTTAAAGACATCATAAAAAAGTATAAATATCATAAGTAATTTCTCTACAAAGTCTATGAACTCTTGTCTCTTCTCGTGTTGTCTTCTCTCAACTCAAGAATTTAAAGCAAATTCTTCAAGATCATAAATATGTTTATTAAGTAGGAAGAAAGTAACACGAGAAAATACATTAGTTCATAAATTCAGTAGAAAAATTGCTTATGATTTATAACTCTTCATGTCTTAAAAAATTATTTCTCGATCAAAGTTGGTGAATGTGATCCAAGTTAATGGATGGTTATTATCCATATTTTTTTATAAAAATAATTATAATATCATAGTTTGTTCAATTATTTACGATCAATTGACTGATATAGTGACAATTTTAATGCATTACATTATCGATTACTTTTGCACTTCATAGAAGGATTGGCAGCGTGAAATTTTTTAATAGGTTATGATGCATTACATTATCGATTATATGGAAGCTCTAGGAGCAAAAGTAAGCTTGAGAATATTAGATTCCATTGAAGTTGAGAAATTCGCCAATTTATTGTTTTCACGAGATTAAAGTCAATGGCAAGGTTTCTAGCTAGCAGCTAAATATAGCATCAAAGTCAGTGGCAAATGGCTAAGTATGTGTTTGGATGTGATTTTGTGATCACGTTCGCCCACGAATTCACATTAAATTGTTATAATTGATGCAAAAGCTACATATACTTGCTTCTGAAAATTCACGTCAAACAAGATCAATTTTTATCATCACGTCTATTTCCACCCTCTCCTTTCAATTTAAAAGTTATTTCTTAGATACCAAATTCTGTGGAAGTGCATAAGACATTTAGTTTTAGCTTAGATGAAAAACTTAATTTATTTTATTTTCTTCTTTATAAGTATTTTTGAAGAAGTTTATAGAAATAGAGTCATGTTACGTCTTTCTTTATGTGGAACCAGATGTTATTTTTGCTCCATTTCAGTTTATTTTCCTATACTTGAAGCGTGGTTTCATTTCATCATGTTCATGTTACTTGTCTCAGTAGATTTTAAACCTCCAAAGGAAATGAAGCTTCCATCACGTGTTAATGTTTCAGCTGTGATAGGGAACCTGAATTCAATATATATATATATGTGCTGCTATATTTTCAATACACTGTTTTGATGATTTCTGACACTGTTTTCCATTGTATGTTTGTTGCTTCAGAAAAATTCACATATTTAAAGGTTCAGATAAACGTTTCACATGCCTGAGACTTCTTCAGCAAGAATGCCAGATGCTCCTGTTGCAGATTCTGAAAAGTATGTTCTCTTTTAGACACGGTGTTCCATTCACAAATGTTATCTAGGCAATGCTGATATCTGTTTGGTTTGCAGAGGCAAAGGTATAGTAAATCATCAACATGATTGGGAGCATTTATCTGCAGAAGAGAAGCATGCTGCAGAAGAGAGTTTTGCAGTTTATTGCAAGCCTGTAGAGTTCTACAACTTTCTTCAGCATCGTGCTAACCAATACGTACTCCTTCTTCCATTGTAAATTATATTCTATGTGATTATTTATTACTTCTATTGGGTTATATTGCATGAGTCATAGGCTGATTTTATTACTGGTATCATTATTTTATTTTTTTTGAAGAAAATTCTCCCTTTCTACCTGTTGTTTTAGGAGAATCTGTTGTACTTTCTATTTACTTCTCTTTTAGTAGTTCTTAATTCCTCCTTTTCCCCCCAAATCTCTTGATTTCCTGATTTCTGGCCTCTGAAAATAATATTATTGCATTGTTGTATTCTAATAATATACATGTCTGTTTTATAGCCATTATTTCTTCAGAGATGTTTAGACTACATGATAAAGGCTAAGCGCAAGAAGAGGTAAATTCTATCATATATAATCTTCCTTCTCCAGTTTGCTTCTTTTTCTTTTAACAGATTTATGTTTAATATATGCTGTGTGCCCATGTGGATGCATATGCTATGTCCAGATGAATAATAATTCATTATGTAGAATTTTGTGGTTCAAAGACAAATTAGGATATGTATAAGACATTTAAAATAGTTCTTGCTGACATACCTCATCCATCATCATCAGGGTAACTGGCAATCCTGTTTAGTATGTGAGATGAAGTTTCAAGATTGATGAGGTTTCTGTTATGTAGACCTTGTGATACCTTTTCTTTTACCTTAATTCAGATTGCAATTTTCTTTTGTTCCAGATAAGGTTGAATTTGGTAATTTCTAGGGAGTTGAATTGATTTGAAGTCATTGCTGCCTTATTTTCTCTGATTGTAGTTTTGTATAAATATGAATTTTGAGGTGTTAATGAGATTTCTCATTGGAATATATAGGATACCATTGACAGTTTCCTTGTCATGGAATGGTGATGAAACTCAATCTCTGTTTCCTTTATGCATCTGTCTGGCAAGGCTGGATCGAAATGATGAAGCTAAAGAAGGGGTAGGAATAGTGCCTCTTAAGCTGCTAAGTGCTAACTAATTTCGTAGTGTATTATTCCTTATTCTAATTCTTCTGCATAATACTTTTTTTTTTTGTTTTAATTTACCAAAGGCCAAAAAGTATCAGGCTATTCGGATATCCACAATTCACAGTTCGTCTAAAACTGATGGGAATGGGAATACTGAAGTCCAAGCTAACTTTGTGCTTCCTGAACTTGAGAAGTTACATGAGGAAGCTAAATCTAGCAAATTTTATGTCTTCATTTTTGCCTCTGGTATGCATATGATTGTATTATCCAATTAACATGAAAATTTATATCTCTACTTTTTGCTTAATCCCTTGTTATAATTATTTACTTGCAGTGGAAAATCCAATTTCATTATCTGAAGTCAATGCCAGCATGAGGCCTTGGGACGTGGCTTCTAATGAATGTGAGATATGCTAACTTTTGTTATGCAAAATATGTTTGTCCAATAGCTGTAATTCATGTTGTCATTACTTCAGCCACTTTCATGTACATTTGTATAATTTTATTTTTTAAACATTAATTCCATCAAGTGAATCACGCATAAAATCACAAGAAATCCTCCATAATGAATCAAGAAAGTAGTAAAACCTGAGATAATAAATTAAATCAAGAGAACCATGAAAGAGTGCCAAGGAGTTGTTCACTTTTTAGATGGATATAGTTGGTTAATTGGTTTAAACATAATGCTCGAATTTTCAGTTGCAGATCCTTTTCCTTACATGTTTTTTTGGAATAGAAAAAAATTCTCATTCTGTGGGCTGAGCTCATGGGTTTGCTTTTGAATAATTTCTTGCACTAAGATGAAGGACTAGACAACTCTTTTAGTCATGTATTCTCCTCGTGTTTTTGATGTTTCTTTTTTCCTCTCCTTCCCTTCTAGGGGTTTTTTTTTTTTTTTAATCCTTTTCTTCTATATAACATTTCTCTAATACTGAATTCATAGTTTTGGTATCGATACCAAAAAAAAGTACCCATTTCTTTGAATATCGGAGTTTGATTGAGGGATGATTGATGGGAAACTACACAATATTGTCTCTAAGTTTGTCTAAAATCTTCAAGGTTGAATTTTTCTCCAATGTCTTCATCTCCTTCTTCATGGCTTGAGTCCAACGTTCATCTCTCATGGCTTCCTTGATTGAAGTCAATACTTTTGTTGCATTAACGACAATAATAAAACTTTGATGTCGGACATAGTGATGGTTAATGTACACCTATCAAAAAATAGGATATTTAACACACAACATTTTTCCTTTTCTCAAAAGTAATAGATATATAATTAACACTTACCACCATAGTGTTATTCTATTCAATATCTTTATGGGGGAAAAAAGAAGTAAAATATATATTAAAAAACAAAAATTTTACCTTTAGAGACTCTTAAAGATATGATTAGATTTATTGTAAATGGAGAAACTACGTGCAGGAGATTTTTAGGGATTTATTTTCTAACTTAAATCAAGATCAGGAGATTTAATACCAAGTAGAAAGGAAACTATTTTTTTTTAATATTTATCACAGTAAATATACTCTCAATTGTTGTAAGTTTAACTAACTTTTCAACATAATCAGTATACAATTTTGTTTTCAGTTACATGAATTATTTGTATTCTTTTAGTCCCTAAAACAGGAAATAAAGAAACTGTGAGAATAATGAAAAGAATAAAAAAAATAATCACATTTTCGAATCCCCTAAGATATTTCTATTCTACTATTTATATCAATTATCCTCTTTGCAATGACCTTTGTCTTAATGAATTTCTTCTATTGTCAAAAAAAAAATTAGGGCCCTTTTGGGGGTGGCGATGAGTTTCAAATGTTATTTTCAAAACAAAATGTGTTTGGATAAAATTGTTTCGAAACCATTTTTAGTGTATTTTTAAAACGATTGTAAGCCTCATGTCTAAACCACACTTATTATTATTATTATTATTATTATTATTATTATTATTATTTTTCCAAACTAAAAAAAAGACAAAACTAATGTTTTAAAAGTAAAAACTGAAAACTGAACTAGCCTAATTACTCATGGATTTTTTTTTCTCGTTTAAATTGTGATGCTTTTGTTATGGTAAAGGGTGATTTTTGAACTTTCATATAACCATTTCATTTTTCTGTACTTTTCAACAACAGGTGGAGAGATATGCTTATATGGAAAAATATCTATGAAAAACCTTCATTGGATTTGGGATATGTATCCAAAGATTCCTGTGGATCAGCTAATCCGGATTCAATGTCGAATTAATTTGCTTCCATGTATTGTAATGGTATGACATCTAACTATATATGTGTATGAGAAGTGCTATATATGTGTATGAGAAGTGCTAGTAATATACTCTCTAGCACACTCACTCTCATTCATTAAAATTTATTGAAAATTATAAAATAAAGTCATTAAATAAGATGTAGAATCCATTAAATTTTGTATTTTTCAATAAATTTCAACTAATTAAAGATAATGTATTTAAAAGAATATGTTATTAATATTTTTCGTGTGTATATATTTTGGCAATCCATTTCAATCTTTTTATCTGTTCTTCAGTCTTCACAATTATGATGGATGTACTACTTAACAATTTTTTCATGTTGTAGTATTGTTTTCAAAGAAAGAGCAAGATTATCTCAGTTCTGGATTCCAGGGATTCTCCAGATGAGGTTTGTTACAACATCAATATCATTTACCACTAAACTAAATTCCCTCACATAAACACTACAACAACTCAATTCTTTAATGGGGAACTTGCATTGGCTGCTTCTTGTTCCTCTTTTGTTCTTATGGTTTCGGAACTATTAGTTTTACTCCGTAGAAAGAGTAACCTATAGCAATTTGCTGTTTAGGAGAAGAAATGAAAATTCTTATTTGATTAATTAATTGAAATTACAAAGGATGATATAAATTGGCAGAGTTGGTTAGCGATTCTCTGACCAATCTGATTACAATTCAAGCTAGTATAAAAAATAAAACAAAAGATAAGGTTAAGATCAGATGAATAAGAACTTATTCTAACAGTTTCTGGAAGAATTATTTAAATTTTTAAAGGAAAAAAAGAAAAGAAACCCTAACAACTTTTTCACCCCTCATGTAGGTGCATAGATATCCATCACACCCAACTTCAACTTGCTCAAAGAAACTCAAATTAAGTTAAAAGAATCCTTTAGATTGAACACATAATGTTTGCCTAGTGTTGGGAGGCTAGAATAAAGGGCATACAAATAACTTCATCAACCTTTCCTTATTCCTTTTATAAAGTACTTAACAATCTCCACATGCTTGGTTCAGTCATGTTTAGCATGGTTTTGAGGAATATTTATTGCAGCTTTATCATCATGATATAGTAGGTCTAGGATGTCCTTTCTTTGAGATACAACAATTCCCCTTTTAGATCTTGCAACTTCCATCCCAAAAAAAATATTAATAGCAAAATAATCTCAAATTCTGCAGATAGGGATTTCTTCAAGTTTTTCATTTCAAATAAATCATCCCTTATGAGCACTATATTATCCGCAGATACAATTAACACAATCTGCATCCTTTTCAAGTGAATGTTTTACATAGTGTGATCACATTCACATTGTATATAACTTTGTTTCTTGATGAATTGGCCAAACCTCTTGAACCAAACTCTTGGTGATTGCTTTAGTCCATATAATTATTTTTTTAACTTTACAAAATTTCGGTTCAAAGTGTGATTCAAGGCTTGGTGGTGCCATGTACACTTCCTCCTCCATGTCCCATTTAGAAATGCATTCTTCACTGGTTGACACTAGATCTCCCATTGTTGGGAAAGATAACCAGGGCTGAAACAAACAAAAACATCAAAAGGAGTCAGCTCTGCCTGCCAGCTACAGACTCACCATTAGCCACCACCTATCCCTGCTCTGCTCCCATACATAGTATGATCATCGTAGTCCAACCACATGGAAGCAACAAAAGGGTAAGCTAGCATAAAAAGGAACAACATATAGGAAGATTTAAGTAATATGAACATCTACAACTATCAATACATCATCAACATACATTCCATCGATTTTACAGCATAATCATCAATAAGCATTGTTAAGTCTCAATTTTACCTCTTTTTGGATGAGACTTATTGAACAAATTCCACTCATCCTTTGAACCATTGCAATATAATTGTTCTCTTTTTGGTTCATTTTGTGTGCAGATATAACTAACCCAAATTCAGC